GGTTGGAAGCTGTGGTGCCCCCCACCTTGTGTTTGTGGGTGGGCGCTGGGCTAGCTCTGCCCACTGACACCCCCGCCATGGTCAGCCCTGAGTCACCTCCCCGCATGTGTGCGTGAGAAACAGACCGATTGCTGCTTTTGTGTAACACGAGTGTGGGTCCCACAGGTGAGCAGAGGCCAGCGCTTGCCATCCCCGCCTCACCCAGCCCCGAGCGGGTGCTAGGTCTGAAAGGGTCGGTACCAAGGAGCAGGGGAGGCCGCAATGATCCCCAACCCCACGCACGCTGTCAGCCTGACTCCCAGGTGAGTCCCGGAGAAGCCTGCAGAAGGTCCGGTGTGTGAGGGAAGAGCCTGCCAACAAGAACAGATGCCCCGGGAGGTAAGCCAGTCAGAGTGATCACGTGATCTCACTTCCATGTGGGATCTCATGGGCAAAATAGACAGACAGACAGACAGACAAAATAGGTCCAGAGACATGGCAGCACGGGACAGACTGACAGATCTTGGGGGGAAGGGGTGGGCTAGAGGGGAAAGATTAACCCAAGAACTTACATGCATATATGCATAACCTGTGGACACAGACAACAGTGCAGTGAAGGCCTGGGGGGCAGGAAAGGGGGAAGATGGTCAGTGGGGGAAAGAAGAGGGCATTTGTAATACTTTCAACAATAATGTTAAATTTAAACAAACAAACGAACAAAAAAACCCCAAAAACAAATATAAGTGAAGTGAACTTTTGTGTACAAGTATTTTTATGGACATATGCTTTTGTTTCTCTTGGGCAGAGATCTAAGAATTGAATGTCTGGGTCATCTGACAGGTGTATGTATAACTTTTAAGAAACTGCCAAACTGTTTTCCAAAAAGGTTCTACCATTTTACATTCCCACAAGAGGTGTATGCGCCCTCCATTGGTTACACTCATCGCCAGCGAAATTTAAAAAAAATTTTAATCCTCATCTGAGCACATTTTTCCCATTGATTTCTGGAGTGGAAGGGAGGGAGGAGGGGGAGAGAGAGATGGGAGGGAGGGAGGAGGGGGGACAGCATGCGTGAGAGAGAAACGTCGATGTGAGAAAGACACATCGATTGGTTGCCTCCCGCACTTGGTTGCCTCCTGCATGAGCCCTGACCGACTGGGGTCGGGGATCAAACGAACAACCCAGGTACATGCCCTGGATCAGGAATCGAACCCGAGGCCCTTCAGTCCACAGGCTGACGCTCTATCCACTGAGCCAAACCAGCTGGGGCATCATTGATGTGTCTATCTCTCTCTGTCTCCCTTTCTCTCTCTGAAACCAATATAAACATATAAAATATTTTTTTAAAAAAGAAAGATAAAATAACATTATGTGTGCGGTTACTTATTTCCACATGTTCCTCTTTCACTGTGAAAACCAGAAACCGACAAAAACAGTCACCTCCGGTTCATGGGGGTACAGGGTGAGGGGGACAGAATGGATTGTCCAATCGGAACGTGCCATCCTAGGCCGTTTAACTTCTGAAACCTAAAGATAGTCTACAGAGTCCAAGACCCAGTTCCGTCAGAGACGATGGGAAAAGCATGCTCTGATATGAATGTGAACAAATGAAAATGCAGACAAGCTTATATTCAATCACCACAGCCACAGGGAAAAGAAAGAAAGAAAGAAAGAAAGAAAGAAAGAAAGAAAGAAAGAAAGAAAGAAAGAAAGAAAGGAAAAGAAAAGAAAGAA